AAAATCTCAAGACAGTTGGAACACCTGAAGACCTTCCTTGCAAGGCATCTTGTTTACAGGGTAGGTACTCAAAGCGCAACGCTCAGATTTTGATCAAACTTGGCACAAATTTTGAATGATTTTTTCAACGACGTATTAGAGATCTGCGCTTTATAGAAACAACCGACATTTATCGAGATTTTTCGGTCGAAAGTTGGAAAAAATATGACATTTTTTTTTGCGAATTTTGGCATGAAAATTTGCTTGTCTATTTCTATCCTAAAGTGTGTTGTTTCCACAAAAAATCAATTTTTTCCGCGCGACACTGGCAAAGATATGGCCAAAAAGCGCTTTTCTCTGTGACCACTCTCCGTGTTTTGTGTACTCGGCAGATCATTCAATATCTCAGTTGCCTCTGCAAATTGTGAGCTAAAATTTTCAGAAATTGATGTGTGAGATATGCCTAACAGGGGAAGTACCCCAAGTGCGACGCTCAGATTTTGATCAAACTTGGACCAGATTTAGAATAATTTTTTCTAAAATATATGCGAAAATCCTAGCTCGCGCTTTGCAGAAACAACCGATATTTTTAGGGAAAGTCGGCGAAAATTTATGACTTTTTGCCGAATTTCGGTACGAAAAGTTGTATGCCTATTTCTACCATAGAGGGTAATGTTTCCACAAAAAAATCAATTTTTTCCGCACGAAATTGCCAAAGTTAGGGCCCAAAAGTGTTTTCTCTGTGACCGCTCTCCGCGTTCTGTGTACTCTCTCGGCCACAAAGATCGTTCAATAAGCAGAGGAACAAAGATTGTTCCTCTGCTAACCGTGAGCTAAAATTTTCTGCAATTGAGATGGGGAGTATGCTTGAGGTGTGTGCAAAATGTAAAGAAAATCTGAGCGTCGCACTTGGAGTACTCCCCTTACAAATTCTAAAGCTTCATTCCAGTCTCTGAGCGTCGTACTTTGACCAATTCTCCTATATATAAATTACCAAAGTTATTTTTTTGTGAATTTACGGAACGAGCGGCTCTTTACTTCGCTAAACAAGGAACAATCTGATAAAACTTCAAACGCCTTCCCCTGACCTTAAGATTGATTTAATCTCAAGTTTTGAGCAAACCTTCCTTCTAAGGCCTTGTGATCTTTGTCATAATAGCTCTCGCAACTTTGCTTGAGCAACTTACAAGCATTTGCGAGTTGTTTAGAGCCTTATTTATATTCGGATTGGAAGATTGACCTTTTTATTTTTCATCCAAAGATCCCTCGGAGAGGTCAAAAAAACTGAAAGACCTTTGTCAAACTTGAAGAATTTCTCTCATTTTTTTTGATTTATTGAGCATCTGGTATAATTTTGATAAGGATCCAGACGGACAGGTGTTGAGTTGATGACCACTGGTGTTTATTGTTATTATTTTTTTTTGGTGTTTTCATGACTCTAAATTTATAGTTTACAGAGAAAAAACAAGGATGTTGTCTCAACTGCATTTCTCGTTTTCCTAGGGAAGTTTGGTTCCATATTTAGTAAATTTATTTTTTCAAAGAAATGTACCAGGTTTTCGAACATGCCATAGCATAAGTGGTCGAGATTTTTAGACCGAAATTTTGCATGAATATAGCTTTTTTTTGTATATTTTGGCATTATAAGTTTCATGCCTATTTTTATCGTACAGGGCAATGTCTCCACAAAAGATCAAGTTTTTGCACAGGAAACTGGCAAAGATATGGCCAAAAAGTGTTTTTTCTGACCCCTCTCCGTATTTTGCTTACTCTCTCGGCCGCAAAGGCATTTTTCAATATCTGTAAATGCTAAGGGCGGGCTAAAACTTTCAGGAATTTATATGTGCCCTAGGCACAATGTGTGTGCAAAATTTTTAGAAAATCATAGCTTTACCATTTTTTTCCTTCGACACCTGTCTCTTCGATCCCGTGTAAAGCTTATACATATATTACATACACACCTGAGTATCGCACGTCAAACTGAGGAGTCCGGTGACCGGAATAGACTCTTCGCTATCGGTTTCTACACTTCGTCTTGATTTCGCTGAGAAAGAGAGAAAAAACAGACGGAAAAACGTACTCTCTCGCCCCAAAAATTTCCCATTTCTTCTCCGACAAAACGTTTTTTCGCGTCTTTTTTGGCGAATTCCCAATCCGTTCACCGGACCGTTTTAGCTTATCTCAGTTTGACGTGTATCGCACTTGGAGCACATCCCTTATAAGCTCAAAAAAAATTTTTTTATTTCAATCCTGCAAAATTTTCATACAGCACTTGAATTTGATCCAAAAAATTGCAAATCACATGGAACTTGTACCGAAAAGTATGAGAATTTGCCAAAAAGATTGTCTTCGTTCGGACCGTTCCCAACTTCAAAGCCCCGTGTTCCTTTTATTTACCCATGAAACGTTCTTTATACCCCCAGCTTGATTTTCACATGATCAGAATCAACATACCACCTTGGGGATGAGCATAAATTATAAACTAAAACTTGTCTGACTATTCGATAAACTTTTTTTTTGATGATACGATGACGAACGTATTATGTACATATATTATTACTACAATAAACTCCAATATACCGGAGGTGATTGTAGTATGGTGCAAAAAAAATCTCAATGTAACTCGCTGTACCTTTGTACCTTTTCTTCCGACTTTTTTTTGATTTCTCACTTCTTCCCACCCTCCAAATTTATTCGATTATGGGCAGTGTTTGCTCGTGGAATTGATCGCAGTTCACTTTGCGGCGTCAAAAGTTCAGAAACCCGTGTTTTGCACACACAAAGTACCGCGGACGCCGTGGGCTTAGGAGTCGCGGCCGTGACGGGAAAGGGAATAGGTTGGAGTGTTGTAGTCGTTGGATGGGATTATCAGCATGTTTGCCAGAGTGTAGGGATGTTTTCGGAGTGGCGATCAATGGGTACGGGAATAAGGGGATACAATGAAAATTATGGGCCAAGAAGGTCATACTGTATTAGAGATAAGATATGTAAATCCCATTTTTGAAAAGCTATGCTCTCAATGAGTCTGAAATGAGAGCTTTTTCTATCATAGAGGGTAATGTCTTCACAAAAAAATCATTTTTTTCTACCCGATGCTGACAAAGATATAGCCAAGAAGTGTTTTTCTCTGTGATCACTCTCCACGCTTCGCGTACTCCCTCAACCGCCAATTTCTCTGTGACCGTACTCTCTCAACCGCGCGTTTAATATACTATCTCAGCGTCCTTGAAAAGCGCAAGCTAAAACTTTCAGGAATTGATATGTACGTGAACTATGTATTCTCTATAATCCAATCGTGATTATATAGTTGAGCTTGCATTTTGAAGGCTCTACAAATTTTTTTCGTCCGTTTTATAGGGCATTACAGGGTGTTACAGGGTTTTATTCCGCCTAAAATGGCTCTTGATACCCATATGAAACTGTTTGTTATCGACAGGTTTTGTTGCATCGGAGTTTGTCGTGTCCGCATTCTATATTTTACCCTGATTATATATCAGCTATCTGAGCACATTCCCTTCAAAAGATGGTGGGAAATTCAAGGCTAACTTTTGTCATCATCTTTAGCCGTATTTAAAGATATGATAAAAGTTAATCCTCTCTTCATTTATCAGGGTTTTTGTAGGAACGCCTTACCACAGGACCGACCTCTGTACTTTACTCTTCAAGACTTTTCACAATCTTTTCTGTAATTTTTCTCCAGCGTGTAGCAGTTCTTCCTCTTGTACATATTACACTTCCTTCCTTCTTTCTTTTCCAGTGATCTTTATCTTTGCTGCAAGACCATTTCCGAACTTTCTCGACGACCTTCGAGTTTGTCACATAAATAGTTAGAGATAGCGTTGTAACATGTTGTTACACAGTTGATGGCTTTTCAATGGGAATCGAATTACCGTTGGGGGAAGTCTTTAAACTTCCAAAGTTTAAATTTAGTCGGTAATGTGCGCCGAAAAGGCAGTAGTTTTAAGGATGCAGCGCAGTAGCTAAAATTGCTTTCTTATGACTTCTTCGGCTTACAAGGGAAGTACTCCAAGTGCGGTGCTGAGATTTTCCTTAAGATTTTCACACAGTTCGGGCATAGTTCTTCACGTATCAATTCCAGAAAGTTTTAGCTCGCGCTTTGCGAGGCAGCCGAGATATTCAACGGTCTTGGCTTCCGAGAGGGAATGGAGAGAGCGGTCAGGGAGAAAAGCGTTTTTTGCCAGCAATTTGCTAGCGTAGAAAAAATTGATTTTTTTGTGGAAACATTACCTTCTACAGTAGAAAAGGTGGGGCTTCGGTAGTTCAGCCCCCCACGAAAGGTAGTTCAAACCCCCACTGTTTTGCCCGTTTCACACCCCACATAATGAACAAAGTAGAATAATACAGAAAATGTAAGTGGAGATTTGATCTACTACGTTGGGGGTTTGATCTAAAACGTAGGAGGCTTGACCTAAAACGTAGGGGGCTTCATCTAAAACGTAGGTATAAAACTTTCCAAAAAAATCTCGAAAAAGTGCCGTTATGCCCTAGAAAAAATTAACCTGAATTTGTGCCAAATTTCATCACAATTAGTGCTCCATTTGGGGTAGTGCACTTGTTAATTGGTATCTTTCTTGTCGCTGAAAACACAAGTTTCCAAAATCAGCAGCGCAGTAGCAACAGATGTTTCTTTTTAATTTCTCATCTTAATTTTAAGCCCATCTCCACTATTTAATTCCCTAACAGTCTCATCGCTAAATACCTTTGGTTTTGATTGCGTCAAAACTTGTCGTTCGTATCTTCTCACTTAAGCCGGAAATCGGCCAAATCCCCAAGACTTTTTTTGAGGGAAATCCGGTATCTTCTCCAGTCACTGGCAGTTTTGTACAGTACGTGATCGGTCAGGGGTTGTTTCGAGAGCTCACTCGCCGTCTTCAGAGTGGCTGTGGCATCCATAACCGCGTGTTTTATTGCGTTTTGCGAGATGTTTTGCACGTTCTAGGGCAGCATGGAACAAAATGTGAATAAAAATTTATAAAATTATAGGTTGACAGCCACCAAGAATGACGATCCTGAGGTTTTTCGCTGTCTCTGCCCTCTTGGCTGTGTCGGCCGCACTCGGCAACATGGACTGGGGCTACGAGCGCCACAACGGCCCCGATTCCTGGACCGAGACTTGTGCGAGTGGCCGAAGACAATCGCCCATCGACATTCATGCGGCGAATGTGGATTATTCGCTGATTACCAAGATGCATTTCGCGAATTACATCAAAACTGGGAATGTCAGCATCAAGAATAATGGGCATTCAGGTGGGGATTTATTCATAGTATTATATAAGCATCAGTCTCTCAGGAAAATAATGAGCATTTTGTCGCATCGGCAATCGCATTGTTGTCGAGAAAATGAATCGTGTCACGGCAAAATCAAATTTCTTTTTTCTTTAGCGACGCGGTCGGCGCAGCGACATTTTGCTCATTATTTTTCCGACAGACTGATAAAATTCAAAGTAGAAAAGTATCTCAGTGTGGCACGTTGACTTGTTCTTTGCTGAAACTTGGATTAACCAGCAGAAAAAAGTGCTCGTAATGAGACGCTCAGGCTATGATGAAACTTGGCAGAAATTTACAGTAAAAAAACTTGATCCAATGGCAAAAAATGCACCATTTTGTATCCGAGAGGTATCAAAAAATGTAGCAAAATGTCTCACTGCCCAACCAAAAAAACTCCGTTTTGAATGGTGCCCTTTCCCTCACAAAAGCATCGGTCGCGCTTTTAAATTCAGTATTTTTCACTTGCAGATTGAGGTATTTTGCCGCATTTTTGATACTTCCCGGATGCAAAATGGTACGTTTTCTGCCACTGGAGTAAATCCATCACTGTAGACAGAAGTGCTCGTATTGAGACGCTTAGATTTTGATGAAACTTGGCAGGGATTTAAATTAATTTATTCTTACAAGGGCTTGGGGAAACATGATTTTTCTTGAAACGTATGCCATTTGAAAGAGCCTAAAAAACCGGTCTAGGATCACCTTGAAAAACTAAGATTCTCTCGCATGAATTCGCATGGCCTACGCCGTGAACGATACCCTCGTCGCCGAGCGGCAAAATCTAAACAGTTTGTCGATCGGCCTGCCGCGAAAATTCAAAGAAATCTGAGAGCTCTGCCTTTGGTAATTTCCCAATAAACACCTCACTTCTTTCAGTGATGATCAGCGGTTTCGCGGACTGGGGCGAGAACCAGCCCTACATTTATGGTGGGGATTTGGAGACCAAATACCAGCTGATTCAAATCCACTTCCATTGGGGGCCTACGAACGATGTGGGAAGTGAACATTCGATCGGGACTTTGCATTATCCCATCGAAGTGCATCTGGTTCATCAAAAGGATGGGACCAAGGACCTTACCGTACTGCCGGGCGACGGATTAGCCGTTCTGGCGGTGTTTGGATATGTGGCCCAAGAGAGTATCCACTTCAATACGATTGAGCCAATTTTGAACAATATTGTTGCACATGGTAAGGGCGTAATCTTACGATAATTTTATGATGATTTAATCTTTCTATTTTTATATATTATCGATGAAATATCGAGTATTTTTGAATATATTTTTGATGATTTAGGAAGTGAACAGGCCTATGACAAATATCAGCCAAAAGAGTTCTTGCCAGTGAACGCCGAAAACTTCTACCGATACGACGGCTCATTGACTACGCCCAGCTGCGGCGAGCAGGTTGTTTGGACCATCTTTGCCGAGCCATTACCCATCACGCAGAAACAGGTAGGGTTTTTTTGTAAATGCAAACAAAAAAGCGCTTTTTTGCGGCTTCTCTGTGAAAATTATGCAAAGTACATCCGCTGAAAAGATTGTCGGATATTTCAGAAATGCTTGCAAAAGGAAACATAAAATTTTTACAAATTGATTTGGCGCCTACGTAAATTAAATACGCAAAATTTCAAGGAAATACGACAGTTGGATTTTGAAAAAAACACTTTTTTTTTGAAAAGCAAGATTAACAAGGGAAGGCATCTTTGCCGTCGAGAGAGCATGCAAAAGGCGGAGAGTGGTCCGAGAGCGAAACTTTTTTTGGCCAAATCGTTGCCAATTGCGCCTGGATAACATTGATTTTTTTGTGGAAACATTACCCTACAGGAGCAATAGGCATGAAACTTTTTGAGCCTAAATTTGCAAAAAAACTTTCCTTTTTTCAACTTTTGACCTAAAATCTCACAATCAGTAGCTTCTGGAAAGCGATAATGCTTACACTGTAAGCAGACTAGATACTCAAAATTTCCAGGAAATACGACGATTATCCCGAAAAAAAAAATTTTTTGAAAAGCAAAATTAAAGTTTTGTCTTTGCTAAAACCCCAACTTTATATTAACTTTTCCAGCTCACCCTGTTCCGGAAGATCCAAAGCTCGCACGGCACAACGTTCGACATTGGGAACTTCCGCCATGCGCAGCCGCTGAACGGGCGACGGATCAAGTACCGCGGCGGCTCGGATCGTCATCAAATTTGCGGTCACAATTCGGCCAATAAAGCGGCTGGGGGTCTTACTGTAATCTCCGTGGTTATTTTTATTTTCTCCGCATTTTACTGAATAATCCTTAGTGGGCTCGACTAACTACCGCACTTTTTTGTTGGGTGTAGGTAATTTCAAAAGTTTTAGCGGTATGATGTCGTGTGTTGTATACAACGTCTGTCTCTACTAGCATCTCATCTGCGTGCGTTTTTCTCTTGTTTGTTGGAATTTGATTCGTAAGATACGACGGTGTTATAGGTTGAGAAATCCCGTTACGGGGGGTTTAACTAACTGTTTTTTACTGAAAAGCTCTAAAAACGCATAGGGGACAAAAAAAAATAAGGAAAGTATCAAAAAGTTTCAAAAGGTATCAATGATACTTTTTGATACTTTTCCACGAAATCCCCATAATTGAGTTATCCCTCTCCTTGCGAGGGTTTTAAATGGCTTTTTACGACTGAAAGATCTCTAGAAATCCACCTGGGTATATAAAAATAAAAAAAGTATCAAAAGGTATCCCTGAACCTTTTTGATACTTTTCCGCAAAATCCCTGAAAATATACTTATCCCTGCTCTAGAAAACCATGAGAAAAAATGAAAATAAGTTAGGTATCAAAAAGTATCAAAAGGTATCATTGAACCTTTTTGATACTTTTTCCCAGAATTCCCCAAAAATTTAGAAACTCTTTGTTTTCAAAGCTTCCGACGAAAGTTACCGGCATTTTTACCAATGAATCAAACGAAAATTTCAAAGAAAAAAGATGACTTTTACGTAATGATGTCACCCTGAGGCTATAACACAACCGTCGTTCTTGAATCGTCTCGCAATCCCATTGATCTCGACTTCCATGATTCTTTTATTTTTATTTCAATGCCATCTGTCCATATTTCCCAAGGTTCGTTATAATAGGCAATAAACTTGTATTATAAAGAAAGGCGTTGAATCTTTAAAATCAAAGCTTTCATTGAATTTAAATAAAGCCTCAAGGCTCTAAATGAACAGACTATCTTGTGTTCTAATTTTCATAAAGTCTAAGCGACGACAAACAAATTGTTTTTAATCAACGCAGATAAGAATGAAGAAGGCTATTTTCACAGACATTTCGTTATTTTTTAGTGCAAAGGTTTTGAAGATGCTGATAGAGAGACGAGAAATGGTACTACATGACAATACAAAAACCGCTAGGCGCAACTCGGACCAGTATTCAAAATGATGCTAAAAACGCAAAATTTTATTAGCTGTGCCGCTTCTAGACCCAGAATAAAATAGCTACCTGCATTCTTGCTGGTACTTTACAGGGTCTTTCAAGAAACGTGAAGGAAAGTAGGAGGCTATAACTTTCGGCGGAGGCGGCGCAGAGAGTTCGTTTTTTGAATATGTATTTTTTAAGCGACATTATTTTTTGCCTACGAAATAACAAGATTTTTAGGTGCAAAGTGAGGTCGCTACAACCTTTTGAAAAAGGGGTCTTTTGCCCCGAAAACCAGGGTTTTTCGGTTGAAAATGATCGAGAAATTTCAGAGTTTTTCGGTTGAAAATCACCAAGAAATGTCGGATTTTTTCGGGGGTTTCGATAGAGTTGACGTTGGAGAAAGGGTAGGATAGTTGCCAACACGTCAAAAGTTGACAAAAAGCTAACACTTTTTTTCGTGTTTTTGGCATGAAAAGTCTCATGCCTATTTTTACCGCAGAGTGTAATCTTTCCATAAAAAAATCAATTTTGTCCACACGAAGTTGCAAAAGATATGACCATGTCCGCTTTCCACGTTTCTGTACTCTTTCCGCGGTGAAGATTGATCGTTCATTATTTCGGTGGCGCTTGCAAAACGCGAGCTAAAACTTTTAAGAATTGATATGTGGTCTAATATACCTTGTAAGCGACAACATCATTTGACATATTAACTAACTTTTTTTTGTTTTTTAAATGTTCTTGGATCGAACGTTTCCCTTGAATTTCCTGCTTGTTCAAACTCTCATAAAGATAAGATGCGATGTGAGCGAACAACTCAGGCGGTCCACTTTTTTGTTGCGTTTCCCTTTTCTTGACAAAGAACTAATCAAAAGATCATTTCATAAGACTTGCCGCGAGGTCAAAAACTGTAACAACATGTTGCGTTACTACAAAGAGCAGGTTTCGTATCGTTTTTTGCGCTTTTGGTTGGGGTGTTTGTTGGATGTAATCATCATTTGTTTTCGTACACTTTTATTTGGGTATATAATGCAGGGAATAAAATGAATCCGCCTGGTTTTTACCTCTCATTTTTTCAATCGAACTTCTGGTTTGGCACTGTCAGTAATCATTGTGTTATTTAGTTATCATTATATATTTACAAACATAGGGAAGTACCTAACGCGGAGAGAAGCGAATTAGGTTTTCCAGAAACTGATAAAACTTTTTGCTTGCAACTTTTTGGTCGGCGTTTTTTTTTTTTTTTTTTTTAACTGTTACTACCCTGGCCTACACAAAAAATCGGATTTTTTCAGTCTGTCGGGAAAATCATGTGGATTTGTCGCGCCTTATGCCCAACACCGCTTTAAAACAGGTTTTGCGAGAGACTTGTGCACAGTTAGCCGTGCACAAAAAACAAGATGTTACAGTAGAGACTTGAAATACCTACCGTAGTTAGCTAGTTACCAGTGTATTGAAATGGGCAGGTCAGATTTTAAATTTTTGGCTTACCGTAGGTACAGTGCGCGCCAAAATGATAGAGCCACTCATTTTTTCTTGGATTTATTCTTTTATGGTTAGGTGGGCCAAGCCGGCATAATGCATATATGCAATAACATGATAGGCCTGTACTACGGCCACCATAACTTAGGACTAGCCTAGCGCCCAATCCAAAAAAAATCAAAAATTCGGACCTTCCCCCTCGGTCGACGCGTCAAAATGATAGAGCCACCAAATTTTTCTCCTCGGTGATGGCAGGCGAGGATCTATTGGTACTGTAGTTTGTTAATATTACTACTGATATTCACTGCTGATGTGAAAAGGTTACTGTAACTACCGGTCATACGGTAGCTTTTGGCAACTTTAGAAAATCTTCCAAATTTTGGGTAAAACTGACCGGAAATAAATTTTTCGACGGTTGTATCCGGGTGGAAATACCTTCAAAACATATTAGAAGGCCTATATTTTCTAGCAATAATCAATTTCCGTTGAAATCACATCGACCATAAACAAGGAATGATATTATATTACTTTAGTAGATGGACAGATTCTATAATAATGTCTATTGCTTATGTATGAGTCTGAGAAGCGGCCCCAGAACTTGTGGTACAATTGCAAGAGGACCATAGATTACTATATAACAGGACCGAATTCAATAATTCCTTTATTCAAATTGCAAACGGTATTATGAAGTTTACCAAAGTTATAACCGAAAAAACGATATTTTGGTGGCACGACTAGTGTCAGAATATGATTGCTTCGGGTTTTGAAACGACGAGTGCGGATCTTTTTGTGCGTAACGTAGCATGATTAACCCAACCATAACGTAATGATAAGCAACTACAGAGAAGCTTTGGTGTAGTCACTTAGAGAACCAGAATTGCTTCTCTTGTGGTATTATTCCTAGGGTGTACAAGAGCTTTCAGCTTTTCCAGGTTAAATGAAAATATTCTATATCGTGTGTTGCAGTCTAGCAGGAAGTTTGGTTTTTCCTCCATGCTCCCTCATTGGCATAATTGACATTATTATAGAATCTGTCCATCTACTAAAGTAATATAATATCATTCCTTGTTTATGGTCGATGTGATTTCAACGGAAATTGATTACTGCTAGAAAATATAGGCCTTCTAATATGTTTTGAAGGTATTTCCACCCGGATACAACCGTCGAAAAATTTATTTCCGGTCAGTTTCACCCAAAATTTGGAAGATTTTCTAAAGTTGCCAAAAGCTACCGTATGACCGGTAGTTACAGTAACCTTTTCACATCAGCAGTGAATATCAGTAGTAATATTAACAAACTACAGTACCAATAGATCCTCGCCTGCCATCACCGAGGAGAAAAATTTGGTGGCTCTATCATTTTGACGCGTCGACCGAGGGGGAAGGCCCGAATTTTTGATTTTTTTTTTGGATTGGGCGCTAGGCTAGTCCTAAGTTATGGTGGCCGTAGTACAGGTCTATCATGTTATTGCATATATGCATTATGCCGGCTTGGCCCACCTAACCATAAAAGAATAAATCCAGAAAAAATGAGTGGCTCTATCATTTTGGCGCGCACTGTATACTATAACATTTTTAGATTTTTCGTTTCTCCTCGGCTAGTTGCCCGATTGACTCCGGACCTTTTCAGGGTTATAGAATGATTGATTCTAAGCAACTTTTATATTGACACCTTTTTGCTAGGACTTCTGGAAGTGTGCGAAAAATTTGCATATTTAGCAAAAAATTTAAAATTCTTGAATTTTCTTAAAAAATTTGCATACTTGTACATCCCTTTTTATTGCTGTAAATAACGCTCTATGATGTGGGGATTCCAACGGTGGCAAAATCATGGCTGGGCGGCCTGTTATGTCTGAGAACGAAGCCTCTAAACATCTGGTCATCACGATGATATAGACGAATATGCCGACGAGACACTTTGCCGTGACAAATCCACATTATTATTCAGACAACGTGGTGAAAAAACGATAGGTCTGTTAGACTCTCCACATTTTGCATCTTGTCTCAAAAAGAAATTTGTAGAAAATGGCAATCGACTGCGTGCTCATTATTTTCCCGACAGACTGTTAATTAGTCTAAAATTTCTCAAAGTTATGATCACGAGCCATAAAGTTTGCTGTCATATGACATGCCCTTTTCCTACTGAAACTTTTTTCCGACTTTCTCAACAAGTAGCAGGCAATTGAATTCGGCTCTCCCAAGGCCCACTTGAAACATTAATCTTGATCGCTTTGGACTTTTCACCCTTTTCACCCGCTAAAAATCTCTTTTTTTGACAACGTTAATGATAATGATAGATGGCCAATCACAAAGCTGACTTTATACCCGATCATATTCTCGTCGAATGCATTCTAGTTTGTACCATAAACATGTAAACAAGCCGCTTAAAACACTCTTTTTTATCACGGAGAACACTCTTTTTCTGTTATGGTCACATTTTTTATTGATAAAACGATATCATCTTCCATTCGCCACACCTACAACTTGAAGATGATGCAAAAAACTGGAATATAAGTGAAGGAGAAGTGCTCCAGGTGCAAGGACAAATCGCCTTTTTATGAGGAGCATGATATGCGTTTTGATTGTGAAATTTATGGCCGATTCGAAGAAAGGAGTAGTCAATAAGTATTTATGGCACACTTATGCATAGTTCTAGGAGAGTATCTTGATGCAGACATGATGGGGTTGACCGGGCCTTCTCGGGTCCGCTGCCAGCCTCGTAAGAGGAATATCTTGCCCGGCATGTTGTCAAGGATGACTAGGCCCAACTCATCAGAGCACAGTCAGATCCAAGGCTTGTTTTAGCCCGGCCCGATGTAATTTTTAAGCCCAGTTCGTCTCGGACAGCTAAAAACAATCTATGTTGAAAGTTCAAAATGTTATAGTTTTCTCGCTTTTAGGCTCAAAATATTATACATATATTAGTTCTCTGCATTCTTCTAGGTACTTTATTGCATAAACTCTGGCCTTTACTAGCTTGGGCTTGTATAAACGGTCAAAATTTTTAGGTAAAAAGTTCTCCAGATCTTTCCTTGAACCATTAAGGACTGGCTGCAAAATGCTGACAAAATACTGCCTTATGTCCTAAGCCATGGCCCGAGACCAGAGCGGTAAGATTTTCAAACCTCTCACAGCACGGTCAATGTATGTCCAAGCCATGATTAAGCAGGCTATTTAGGACTTTTTTGCGCTACCAAACTCCATATTACAACAACCCTCCATACAGTTTTGAGCTATATTTTTTCTGCCATGACAGAATTTGTTCTCTGATCTGTGATGCCTTCAAAAATCCACTCGAAACCCCAAAAATCTCTGTGCCAATATTTCTGTTTAAAAGTCGAAAACAATTGAGAGATTGATCTGATAAACGGGCCAGATCATTTGTTATCTGTCGAACAGGGTGGTCCGAGAGGAGGTGAGGCCTCAAAGGGGTGCGAATACAGAAGTTGTTGCTTGTTTTTAGTTTTATACACTTGAGGGAATTGATAGGAAGCGATTATTTGTGAGGAAGACAGAGGCCATAGTTAAAGGAATCAGACTGTCGGGAAAATAATGTGGAATCTTCGTGCCTGGAAATCGCCCATCAGTTTTTGATGACTAGCGGCGGCTGGAGATTTGGGGTGCGACAAGGCCAGGAATTTTGTAGCAACAAATCCACATTATTTTCCCGACAGACTGATAATGGTACCAAAAAATTTTTACTTGTTTTTAATACAGAAAACTGAAAACCCCTCTACAACGAATCTCCGTACTATAAAACCTCTCTATAACGAACATTTTTTAGAAGGCATTTTTCTGTGACAAATCCACGTTATTTTCCCGTAGCATAATATTAGTCTGTCGGGAAAATAATGAGGACAATGTCGCTGGGCCAATTGCGTGAAAACGTGAATAGAAATTCGATTTTGCAATGACAAAATTCATTTTTTTCCCCCGACGAACTGATATAAAGACGGTTGTATTTCTCGGAAAAAACTTTAAAAGTTGTAAAATTTCGTTTTTTTTTTTTTGATTACTAACACCCTTATCATGTTGTTTGCCCTGCTTTATTCCCGTTGACGAACATTTCCCTACATTCGTTTCTAACGTCCCCTCTTTGAACAGCCCTAAAAAAATAACCAAATAACCGTTTGTGTGATGATTTTAGACGAAGAATGTCGCTGTCTGGAAAAGTCGCCTTGGTCACCGGAGCCTCGCGAGGCATTGGGAAAGGGATTGCCATCGAGTTGGGGAAGGCTGGCGCCACCGTCTACGTGACTGGAAGACAGCCGGAGAAGAGTGACAAAGCTCCGAACCAGTCGACTTTGGAGGAGGTCGCCAAGGAGGTTAGGGGAATATACATATAATATATAGTGAAGGTACTGATCCAGTGGCAAAAATGCATCATTTTGCTTCAGGGAAGTATCAAAAATGTGGCAAAATGGCTCACTCTCCAACTAAAAAAAAACTCCGTTTTGAAATGCGCGCCCTTCCTTTCACAAAAAAAGTGGGCGCGCTTTTGGAATCGGAGTTTTTTTTACTTGGAGAGGGAGGTATTTTGCCGCATTTTTGATACTTTCCGGATGCAAAATTTTACGTTTTTGACCAGAGGATCAGGTCCGCCACTGTATATCTAACAAATACAATAATAAGCACGTGTCTGCACCATTTTTTTGGTATGCAAACAACGAATGAACCTTGAAATCACACAAAAAACCTTAATTTTATGTTGAAAAAATGTATTTTTTGCAGATTACGGCCGTCGGAGGCAAGGGAAAGCATGTTTATGTTGACCATTCTGATGCCGAGTCTGTCAAAAAGTTGTTCGAACTCATCGCCAAGGAAAACAACGGCCAGTTGGACATCCTGGTCAACAACGCCTATTCGGCTGTAAATGTAAGTACTTCTGGAAGGAGTAGATAGAAAAAAATGGTGTTCTTGATGTCTAGGTTAAACTAGCTAGTTTCCAGGTGATTTTTAGAACCTACAAAGTAACTAAAGTCCTCTCATACTACCTAGAAGACTATTATTTTCAGTTTTACTTAAATTTTGAATTTTTTTTGGGGGGAATTGAAAGTATATCCGTTTTGAATTCTATGCATTTTCACGCAATGTAAATGCATAGAAAAGTATTTCAAAGCGTCAAAAAATGTCTGAGGCTTTCTAAAAACACCGCTAATGCCATTATTTTCCAGTTCATCCTCGGAAACACCGGCAAAAAGTTCTGGGAGATCGAGGCGGACCCGGCGTACGCCTATGACGTCATCAACGATGTTGGCCTCCGAAACCATTACATCTGCCTGGTTCATGCGGCCAGACTGATGGTGCCGAGAAAGACGGGGCTTATTGTGAACATTGGAAGTCTGGGTGGGATCTCTTACTTCTTGAATGTCGCTTATGGAATCGGAAAAGGAGGAATTGATAGGTTGAGCTCGGACGCGGCGATTGAGCTGGCCGGAACTGGAGTCACCGTGGTTTCGTTGTGGCCAGGCGCCGTGAAAACTGAGTTGATCCAGACAAACGTCTTGAAGGAGGACAATGGATCGGTAAGCCGAATTCTGATGACAAAAAATATCTTGGTTTACTCAAAAAAATTGATTTTTTGTATACAATAGCAATTTTAGGCCGTTTACAAGTACTTCAACGAAGGAGAGTCCATTTACTATCCCGGAAAATGCATTGTGAAGATTGCTACGTTGCCGGATCTTAACAAACATTCCGGGGAAATCTTCACGACTACGTATATAGCCAAGGAGTACCAACTCAAGGATGTGGATGGGCGTAAGTTGCATTTGAATGTCTAAAAATGACATAAAAATCAAAATTTTTTAGTCATCATTTTTTTGAAAACTTATTTTTTAGTCATCATTTTTTTGAAAACTTATTTTTTAGTCATCATTTTTTTCGAAAACCTATTTTTTAGTCATCATTTTTTTTTCAAAAAGCTATTTTTGAATTTCAGGCCTTCCCGCAGATCCAAATGTCCTTCAAGCCACCAGTTTCATCGACCAAATGAACGCCGTTCGCACTCGTGTCCTCAAGGGAAAGCAATGATTGTAGAGCTGTAGAGAGATACCCCAATAACTAAACATATAACATGTCTGAGTGAATTTGAACCTATGTGCCTTGACCTTCAAATAAACATATTTCTTTTTCTGTTTTTGAAAGGGAAACTGCCCATAGTGCGACGCTGAGATTTTGATGAAAGTTGGCACAAACTTACCGTGAGATTACTCCAAGTTTGATGCTCAGATGTTGACAAAAATTGGCACAAATTCAGACAACTTTTTTTGAATGCATATACGCCACTTCTAGCTCGTGCTTTGCAGAAACGACCGGGATTTTTGGATCAAAAGTTGACCAAAATGTGACATTTTTTTGCGAATTTTGGCATGAAAAGCTACTTGGCTATTTTTACCGTAGAGGGTAATGTTTCCACAAAAAATCAATTTTTTCCGCTCGAAACTGGCGAAAATATGGCTAAAAAGGTCTTCTGTCTGACCGCTCTCCGCCTTTTGCGTACTCTCTCGGCAACAAAGACCTTTGAATATCTCGGCTGCGCCTGGAAAGCGCGAGCTAATATTTTCAGGAGTTGATATGTGGGCTATGCTCAAAATGTATGCAAAATTTAGCGGGAATCTGAACGTCGCACTAGAAGTTATTCCCATGGTAAACCATGGGAATTCGTATATCCAAAATTACCATAAAAATGCACTATAAGAAATTCGAAACGACAAAAAAGTTGTCATTTTCTCGCCCGAAATCTCCGGAGACAAGTCGGGCTCGTCGATCTATTGGATGTTCTTTTCCAGGTTGATTACTTTGTATTTTACATCTTTTAGTACATTTCTTCCACGCGATTTTTCGAACTTTCGAAATCACTTTTTCATCTCGGCTTTTTCGTCATTATTCATTTCCAGAATCGCGATGTCGTTGGGCGGCAAGGTGGCGTTGGTGACAGGCGCTTCGCGCGGCATCGGCAAAGGGATCGCCGTGGAGTTGGGAAAAGCGGGCGCTACGGTTTACGTGACCGGAAGACGACCGGAGCAAAGCGACAAGGCCGTCAATCAAACCACGTTGGAGCAAGTGGCTCAGGAGGTGAGGGATCGAACAGCCCGGGGGAATATTTACCGACTTTCTGGGCGATAACAAAAGATTTGCGAAAAAATTGTCTTTTAAACCGTAAATTTTAATTTTTTCCTCGAAAAAATCAATTTTTTTAGCTCCATTTCATATTTCCATGCCCTCCAATCGACTAATCTTTCCATTACATCTCTTTATCATCATTTATTTTTGAAAATCCCGCGGTATTCTCCAAGCCGCGATTCGCAGCCTGCCCTTCGTAGGGCGCACCTCGGGAATTTTCCTTTTTTCGGCAAATTGAGTAATTTCGTTTGAAGTTGTGGCCGGAATGGATGGAGCAATTTCAACAAAGTCTCTAATTGTATTTGTTTATAGATTAGCGCCGGTGGCGGCAAAGGAAAGCACGTTTACGTCGATCATTCTGATCCGAAGTCGGTCAAGGAGCTGTTTGAGCAAATTTCCACGGAAAACAAGGGCCAATTGGACATCTTGGTGAACAACGCGTATGCTGCTGCTAATGTAAGTTGTATTCCAGCTTCTCCTTTCTGTTTGAATTTAGGTATGCTTCATTTTTGGGGAAAACTGGAAGAGTCTCCATTTTAATACGTAGCATAATGTAAATGCATGGAAAAGTATTTCAAATCGTCGAGAAGTGTCTGAGATTTGTTGAGAAGAGCGCTAATAGCATTATTTTACAGTTCATCCTCAAAAACACCAGCAAAAAGTTCTGGGAGATCGATGCGGACCCGGCGTACGCTTATGACGTCATCAACAATGTTGGCCTCCGAAATCATTACGTATGCCTGGTGCATGCGGCTCGTCTTATGGTACCACGCAAATCCGGACTGGTTGTGAATATTGGAAGTCTTGGCGGCATCTCCTATTTCTTGAATGTTGCTTATGGAATCGGAAAGGGAGGAATTGATAGGTTGAGCTCGGATGCGGCCACTGAATTGGCCGGAACTGGAGTTACCGTGGTTTCCTTGTGGCCTGGCGCTGTCAAAACCGAGATGATCCAGAATATGGTGCTGAAGGAAAAGAATGACTCGGTAGGAAGAGAGTTCCTATATTGTACTAGAGGTTGGCTACGATTTTTTTATTTTGTTTGATTTTTAGTCGGATTTGTGGTTAATGCATAATATTCTTCTTTGACTTGAAGCTGATGTTTTTTTATTGGATTACGAATTCGTTGCCTATAACAGAATTTTTGCCTTATTTTAGGAAAAAACACGTTGTACTTGGTGAATTTTGTAAAATCTTTTGATGTTAGCCACTGTTAGTGTGTATTATTGTTTGCTGACGTTAGAACACATCTTATTTTACAATTTAGACGATGATTGAGACCGATTGCAAGTTTTTATCACTGACTTTTTTCGATTTTAGGCCGTGTACAAGTACTTTGACGAAGGTGAATCCATTTACTACCCTGGAAAATGCATTGTGAAGCTTGCCACTTTGCCCGATCTCAACAAACATTCTGGAGAAATTATTACCACCACCAACTTGGCAAAGGAGTTCCAAATCAAGGATGAAGATGGACGTAAGTTGTCTAGTGTAATATGAGTTAATATTATCTCGGTTTTTGAGAGAAGAGTATTTTATTTTGTGTTTTCAGACCTCCCAGTTGATCCCAATGTCGTCAAGAACATGGACTACATCAACCAGATGAACGCGGTCAGAACCAAGGTGTTGAAATCTAGTCAATAAAGGTTTTCGATAGAAAATTGAAAGAATATTGTGTGTATTGTCATGTAAATTGTCTTTGAAGTAGTAAAAGATGTTCAGAGAGGCAGTGAAAATCGTTTTTCCATAATATTCAATCAAATTTCCCTGTAAAAGCAATGAAATTCCAATCTTACACTAGAATTGATACCTAAAATCAATGTTTTGGCCATAAATAAGCCCAAAATCAATCTAAACGGGTAAATTCCACATGAAAATCGAAAATGCATCCCCAAATCTTCTGACCAGCCCGACTTCACATCGAAATTCGACGAATTTCCGCTTGCACTAGTACCTTGGCTGAGCTCCACCACGAAAATCCAGAACGCCAAGCGATTTTATCGGCAATTTATCGAATATCATCATGACGTGTCGTTGTTGCGTGGCCTCGCGCGCGCGGACATTTTTCCGTTTTGTGCGACGCGTGGACAAACGTCATCATGCCGTCATTCTCACGGGCCGTTCATGTTGACGTTTTTGACGTGGTGAACAACATCACCTTCATGGTCGGATAGTATCTCCCGATTTTCCGTCAAAAAGGGTCAGACAGTTTGAGTATGAGGTAAGCTTGTTTTTTACTTGTTTTTCTTCCGGAATTAGATTGAAAACTGACGATTGCTTGCCGATATTGTACTAGACATCAGCAGTGTTCAGGAAAAAGTGAATTCTTGCAGTAAATTGAGGGTTTCTTGATTATTTTTGGTTCACAAGCTTTTTTCTTGGTCATAGGCGTTTTAGATGGCCTTTCCAATTACACTTTGGGGTTTCTTGATGTTATACTTGCTTTTATTTACCGATTTCTCTCTTTCAGATTGTAACTCGGATTTATATCAAGTCGTTCTGGACCGGGACATGCTGAAATGACAATCAACAGTCCACCATCTTCACAATACCATCCTGAGCTTACCCGGTCTTCACGTCACTTACGCTTTTCAAGTTCAAACGGCCCTGTGAAGAACAAACCTTCATTCGACTTCGACATTGGCCGACTACAATTCCTTTCCATTGGAACAGAGATTTATACGCGGTAAGAACTTTTTATCTTGTTTTTACATTATTTTAGGTACGAATAATATATAATTCGATAAATTTTTATTATTTGCTTTTGATTTCAGAGCTCCAATGAATCGTCTCGTCAACGGTGTTCCTTCATCTTCAAAGTTCTGTCGCACATCATCATAAGAAGTTCATCTTCATCTTGTTCAACATTCTTCACACTGCAACATCTCCGGATTTGTTCCACATCAAGTTTGCTTGTGAGTTCTTTCATTTTTTTTGCTTTGATATTTAGAAACGACGTCGAATTTTCATGAAATTGCTTTGACACTGGGCACAGCTCGGAAATTTTACATCTTTTATGCCGAGCTGCGCTGCTGTCCTTGCTGATTTCATTCTTTTTTTGGTTGATGTACCCTCAAGAGCCTTCACGCAGATTAGACATCGATTATATCTTTTTATTTGCAGATTTCGCCGCATCAACATGTCAGTTTCGCCTCCAGCTGCCTTCTGCTTCGACACATCATCACACTGAACAATCATGGATCACCACGGACGCTGGCTTGCAACAATGAAACCACAATTTGGACAATCTTCATGTGTGTACTGGTAATCGTTGAATTTAATATTTTACATGCTATTGTATCAGACATTAGATTTTTCTTGTGTACGTAGTTAGTATTAGTTATTGGAGATTATTCTCTTCCCTATGAAGGGCAGAAAGCCTTCATAATAAACAGAAAACTCTATTTTCGTTGGGTATCCAAGTTGAGACGGCAGTAGGTAGGGAGTCGGGGGTCTCGGACCTGTTCGAGCCTTGGATGTCGGGAGGGTCGAACCCGACTTATACTTGGGGCTATTACCAGAGGTAAAAGGGCTGGTAATCGGAGTGCCTCGGGTATTTCGCTGGCCCGGAACTGGTGCCCGAAGGCCGACCAGAGGCTCTATTTTCAATATTCTTTGTGAAAGTGCTGGGAAAAGTGGGAAAACACGCTGGAGCGTCGGTTGTAACATCCAAAAGGGTTAAAAAGTATATTGCGGCTTGCCACCCTCTGAAACGTGCGGAGGCTGTTGATGTGGAAGGTCGGTGGACCGAATGGGTGGATGTTCAAGGCCTTTGGCCACGTTATAAACCGGACCTAACCCTGTGTTGACGGTTGTATCGGATAAATCAAGCTGGAGCCACCGATACGCCGCAGAGTTCGGTAGTCGGTGGTGCCGAGACCTGGGGCGCTCGGCCGAGAGTCCTCTTTCCCCTCCGAGCAGCCATGAGCGGGGGCCCAATGTGGCTGGCGCAAAGTTAAGGCGGGTGAACGAGGTCCCCAACGTGGGCAATGTGGCGAAAGCCCGCCTCTATACCGCGGTCGTGCGCTATGGTTCCGGCTGAAAACGTCCCACGGGCCAGCCACGGGTTATGAGGTCAAAATACAAAAAACTTTCTTTTTTCAGCTTCACTACGTAAGTTTTCGGGGATCCTGGACGGTAAGTTTTGAGCAGTACGTACAAAGTAGGGGGATGGCAGAGTCGCACAAAATGTACAGTTTTGGTTTTTTTTCTGTTACAACCGACACTCCGGAGTGTCGTCCCACTTTTCCCAGCATTTTCGTACAACAAAGAGCAGTGAAAAGAAAGTCGCTGTGAAGCTGACGCAAACCAGTGATGGAAAAGCGCAAATACCAGGCAAAACGAGAAGTCCGCCGCTTGAGCCGGCTGGAAACACCCCAAGATAACTCGGGCTAGACCCTCGCTGGCATCATTGCCTCGAACAGAAATCCGGACCATGGGGTCTACATCACGAAAAGTGGTGTAGACACTGGGGCCAAACTTGTTTGGCTTTAGGGGAGTGCTCCCTTCCTACTGCCGTCTCAACTACGTTAACCAACGAAAATAGAGTCGACAATATTTTTACATTACACCTTATATTGTTATAAGGTATCAGAGAAGAGAATTCACTCCAATATACTAAGACTACTACTCAGTAGACTTTTGGTTGTATTGTAAGACTATTTGTTGTACTGTTTAGTTGTTGTAAATTGTTATATAGCTACCTATATATATTTTGATATTGTTGTATTTCATACGATATGTTACTATGATTTCTATGATTTATTGTGTAATGCTATGAATTGTTGGTATTTGGGGAATTTTTGAGGTAAAATAGTTTTTTGAAGGCTGTTTGCGGGAATGGAAGGGTCTTTTGGCAGCCGATTTTTTCGATTTCAGCTGGTTATGCCCGGTTACTCCAACAAAATGATGATGATGGCACTGTCGACCCTGACGACGCAGAAGACGATGAAATAGGGAAAATATACGGGGTTTTTGTATTACTTATGGCGGTTCAAGGCATTTCACTAGGGTTAAAAGATGCAAGGAGTAATTCACTGCTGACTTTTACCTGCTTCCTCATAATTCACGACATCATTCCCCTAAAAAACTTGATGGTTGATTCCCAACTTTCTTCATTCGAAATTGAAGTAATGGGCAAGGTTGATGAATCCAATTCGCTTTGTATTTTCCCAACATATCCCAAGAAGAAAAAAAAATTCCCAGGAAGAGCTGGAATGAAGCTGTAAAAACAACAAGAACGTTTCAAGGGTGGTTGTAAAATTGGTTTTATCATAGGGTCAATTGGTGACGAGAACTGTCAAAGACATAAGGTGTTTACGACAGTATAAAAGCAATGGGTAATCACAATTTCAACAGAAATATGGCTTGTGAAAATAAAAAAATTTTGTCTGGGAAAGATTGCGGGGTGCAAGTTCTCGGAGGCGCTTTTTTCAGATGAGAAAAGCGCTTGAAGTTCGGCGTTCAAATTTCGCTGAAGCTTGGCGGAAATTTAGATTATTTCTTGTCAAAATTCCATGTGATTTTCTCGGCCAACTTCATAAAGAATCCAAAATCATCCAAATTTATTCGCGCTTTGCAGAAACCACGGATATTTTTAAGCCTTATGTAAAACCTTACTGTAATTGACCCATTTTACTTTGAAATTTTGAATTTTTAGTCATGGGTCTCCTGCTAGTAGCGTCAATTCTCATAATCCTGATTTGCTTTTACAATTTCTATTACAAACGTCTTGGTCTCCCTCCAGGCCCAACGCCATGGCCCATCCTTGGAAATCTGCCACAGTTGGCACAAAAGCCTCCAGGAACTGACGTCTTTTTTGAATGGAGAGACAAGTACGGCCCCGTATTTACCTATTGGATGGGCGAGAAGCCGGTTGTCGCATTCGCTGATTACAAAACGTTAGATCAAACGTTCAACAAGGATGGAGAAAACTTTTCGGGACATGACTTTTTTCCGGATTTTTATTTGAACTTAAAATGTAAGTGATCGCTCAAATATTACACTCCAAGCCTTTCCATTGTTTCTGGAATACTAGTGGTCGACAAAAACCATTTTTGCCACATAGGGGTTCAAAAATAATTGGCGATTTTCAGCTTACACGGTCCAGGGAATCAGTGGAATGGAAGGCGCGCTTTTCAAAGAGCATCGATCGTTTGTTGTCAAGTCCCTCCGAAATTTAGGCTTGTCCAAGAGCTCAGTACAAGATAAGGTAAAGATTCAGTCTATTATGCAGTGGGGGATCTGATCGATTGGCAAAACACGTACCATTTTGCATCCAGGAGGCATCAAAAAATGTGGAAAATTACCTCCCTCTCCAAGTGAAAAAAGCTCAGATTTCAAAAGCGAGCCCGTTTGTGAGGAAAATGGGCGCGCCCTTCAAAACAAAGTTTTTTCACTTGGAGAGGGAAGCATTTTGCCACATTTTTAATACTTCCCGGATGCAAAATGGTACGATTTTTGCCACTGGATCAGCTCCCCCATTGTAGGTCAGGGATAGGCCTGAGTTTGTCTGGGTCCTGTTGCTGGGGCTGTCTGGCCTGAGAAAACATTAGAAACCGAGTCCGAGTAGGAGAATGCTTAAAATTTGAGGAAAAATGAGATTCTGGACCACCTGATTCAGAAGTTTTTGGCCTAGCGTATGCCCGAAGGGCCTAGCTCTTTTGTCTTTCTCATAAATCATGTTTAAACTTTTCTATCGATGAATTTTAGGTGCTTAGACAAATCTCCAACATGTTTGAAAGCCTTGACGAAGAGGTCCAAGCTGGCGCAACTTACCACCTCCTAGGCGGTCACATCGACTTTGTTATTGGAAATGTTGCCAATATATTTCTTTTCGGTCATGGATTTTCAAAGGTAAAAGTTTAAGCAGGCTTGCAATCAGACTTAATGTTCTTTTCAGCAACACAATGACTTTATCGCCCTCCGCGCAACTGTGAATCGATACATGGCCACAGTGATGACGCCTGCCGCTTTGTTGATCATGTCACATCCTCGTATCTTCAAACACCTCCCATTCTTCAAGGGAGTTTACAATCAGATCGATGAACGGATCGGTGATATGCTGTGTTATGTGGATAGACAAATTCAAGAGCATTTGGTGGAAATTGAGAGAAATCCGGAGACCTCTGATGATTATGTTTCCTCGTTCCTGCGGGAAATGGAAAAGCGAGAGGGGAGAGATGGCTTCACGTAAGCTTGTGTTCTTGCTTCCCACCGCTTTAGTTTAACCGTATATCCTGATTTCCAGCGTGTCCCAGCTTCGCGGCATCCTTGTCGATCTGTGGTTGGCCTCACAAGATGCCACTTGCTCGACGCTGAATTGGGGAATCGTTTATTCGATTCACAATCAAGAGAAGCAACAGAAACTTCAAGCAGAGTTGGACAGAGTTGTCGGTTGTGATCGACTTGTTACCATGGAGGATAAAGCAAGCTTACCATACGCCTCGGCTTATTGTCTGGTAAGTACAGTGGCGGACCGGATCCAGCGGCAAAAAACGTACCATTTCGCATCCGGGAAGTATCGAAAATGCCGAAAAATACCTCCCTCTCCAAGCGAAAAAACTCCGATTTCAAAAACGCTTCCTTCACAAAAAGAGCGGGGGCGCCTTTGAAATCGGAGTCTTTCCCTTGGAAATGGAGGCATTTTGCCACATTTTTGACACTTCCGGGAAGCAAAATGCTATGTTTTTTGCCGCTGGATCAGGTCCGCCATTGTAAACCACCGTTCAAGCCATTCAAACTCATTTTTCCAAAACCTCTGACTTGTAGGAGATCCAACGACTTGCCAACATTGTAACTCAAAGTCTGATGCATCGGAATTTCAAAGACACCATGGTAAATGGGCATAAAATCAAAGCAGGCACGTCAATTATGCCTCTGATCACCCTAGTTCTGTATGATCCGAATATTTTCGAGAATCCCCTTGAATTCAAACCGGAGAGGTTCTTAGATTCGGATGGAAGCTTGAAGAGCTGCCCAGAGTTAATCGCCTTCTCAGCGGGCCGACGAATCTGCCCTGGAGAGGCGTTGGCTAAAGCGGAAGTGTTCTTAATCATCACGAATCTGCTTCATCGTTACAAACTAACACCTGTGCGTGGCGAAGAGCCGAGCTTGAAGAGGAATTTCGGCTTCACTGTGGCTCCAGAGCCGTATAAAGTGGAGCTGGCGAGAAGGTTTTGAACGATCTCATTTTATATAAATATTTTTTACTGTTTATTTCTGAAATTTAATAAAATACGAAGTTGAAAAATTCAGTTTTTTGCGATGAATTACAATGGGCCAGAACAAAGTTTCATGTGCCGACAAATGTCCTCCGGATTAATGAAACCGCCTTCGTTCTGAACATAATTGTAGATCCTGTCGAAAGAGTGCTTCGTGGCGCGTTCGCAGACGGTTTGAAAGACCGAGGTTGTACTACAGAGCATCTGAAAGTTGCAGCGAAACTTGGGGTACTTCCCCCTTAAACTTACAGGGGAAGTAACCCAAGTGACTCTCAGATTTTGATGAGACTTCGTACAAATTTAGAATAATCTTTTCTAAAATATATGCGAGAATTATCGATCGCGCTTTGCAGAAACAACAAACTAATCCACCATGCCTGAAGAAAAACCAATGCAATATTAGTCAACTTACATCAAGTTCGCTGAAGAACGAGTCATTTGGCATCCCGTGACCCAAATCATTTCTTGCTCTGACAAACAGCCGTTTACAAGGTTTACAAAATATCTTCAGCGGGCGCACTCCCAACATATTGGACAGCAGAGTGACCAAAACTAGATATAGCCATAATACTACCATGTTGCGGAAGAAGTATCTTATTGTCAGAGAATCATGATAAACCCGGGATAAAAAATTTTGGCTTTGCTGAAGACAATTATGTTTATGCTATGTGTGCTAACATTTATGTTGAATAAACGCTTTGTTATTTACAAATATCAAACGATTAAACTATTGTATTCAATGTTTATTGTTCCAGAGGGCTCATGACCTCAGGCCAAAACAATTATTTTTTTTCGAAAATTAACGAATTAATTTCTTGATACCATTCAGAGCCTGCAGTAGTATTGTCTATAACACAAATCCAAATGCTTGCAAATACATTTTGAATTGATTATGCCGTGGGAAATATGCATGATGTATGAGTAAATATCCTCTAATCGTTTGGAAGTGCGGTCACAAACCGTTGCAAACCTGGGGGTTGTTCTGCAGAGCATCTGAAAAGCGGAAGATTTATTTCATTTCAAAAAATCCTAACATCGCATTTGAGGTAGTTCCCTTGTAAATTGGAAGGCTCCACGTTGACATTTTGTCTTGTGAATTTAAAGTAGACATGGCTCGTCGGCCGGCCCCTAGTTAAGGTGTCAGAATGAAGGCTAGCCGGTGACTTTCAACCGAAAAACTGGGAGAAATGTTCCTACATCAAAAGCTCCTCAGTTTGCACTTTGGAGTCTTGTTATTTCACAGACAAAAAATAATCTCGCTTAAAAATACATATTCCAAAAACAAAGCCTCTGCGCGGCCTGTGCCGGAAGTTATAGCCCCCGACTTTCCTTCACGTTTTTGAAAGACCCTATACTGTGACGGACCTGATCCAGTGGCAAAAAACGTACCATTTTGCATTCGGGAAGCATCAAAAAATGCCTCTTACAAAAAGAGTGGGCGCGCTTTTGAAATCGGAGTTTTTCACTTGGAGGGGAGGTTTTTACTACATTTTTTGATGCTTCCCGGATGCAAAATGGAACTTTTTTTGCCACTGAATCAGGTTCTCCACTATGCATGGAAACTCACATCAATTTCGTTGAAAAACGCCACTTTCGATATCACCGAACTCCCACTCAGATCATCTTTCGCCCGTTCGAACAAGCGCCGGCACGGTTTACAGAATATATCCAGAAAAGGCGACCTTTTCAGTCGGTCTTCGGCATTGACTTCGACAAGGAAAAAAGCAGCTAGAAATGCGGAGAAACACCAAACCAGGCTGAAGTCCATTTTCAAAATTCTTTTGACAATGAGAAAATTTTTTCTTCATTTAGAGGCTGTTTTTGCATAATGAATTGTTAGAGAAAACAATGAAGAGTTTTATTATATGTATGTTACTATATGTATTTTGCATTGCAAATTGGCCTCAACTTCACGGAGGAACACGCTGTGATTTTAACGAACACAGACCTTTATGAAGAATCAAGACTTTTTTGAAAATTTTGCCATAGAATTTTTCAGTCTGATTTCCAAGGGAAAGAGGTATGATTGAGCAAAAAATATTTTTTTTCTATCCAAAAATTGGCAAAGTTATGGCTAAGCAAAACGGTTTTTTCTCTGACTCCTCTCCGCACTTTTCATACTATTTCGTTGACAAAGGTCTTTGAATAGTTTGGCTGGAAATTGCAAGCTGAAAAAGAGCAGGCGCGCTTTTGAAAACGGAGTTTTTTTCACTTGGAGAGAGGTATTTTGCCCCTTTTTTCTACTTCCCGGATGCAAAATGGGATGATTTTTAAAAACCGCCACTGTATAAGGGCTTCGGAAACAGCAGCAGGCGTTTGCTGCATTATGATATATAATATCTTCAAAGGTCCCGATGGTCTAAAAAAACCTCGGGAAAACTTCTGCACAAAAAAATCCCGGTCAGCGAAACCTGTCTATAGCATAAAAACCCAATTCAGATGTTCCAAGAGTTAGTCGCAGGCCAAAATGAACCTTTTTACAACAAACCCCTCCTATAACAATCAAATTTTCAGCTTCCTTTCAAGATTTTTGTAAGAATAAAATTTTATCTGCAACATTTTTTGCGGAAATAGCAGTTAAAAGCACATCTGAAACACTTTGAAACATGCTAAAAGTAAGCGTTAAAAACCAACAGCTGCAGTTGCTTTCCAAAACAGTTTTATTAATGTTTGATTACACCGAAACTCCTGCGTAATTGACGATCATTGCTTCTTGAAAAGGTTCAAAACAGAAACTCGCAACTTTCCCCAGCGAAAGGCAACATTCTACTCACATTTTTTGATTTATTGAAATTGCTTTTGGACCCTGAAAGTTGCATTTTCCACGGACTCTGCGCTCCGCAAGGTTTTTGATGTATCAAAATATCAGTTGGTTGTAAAACGTTCAAGATCCCTCCTTATCATTCGAACTCTTTATGATAAGGAGTGTCTTGGGATTTTTCGGTAAACACGGTGATACAAGCAGGTATAAAAACAAATGTTTCTCATAGTTTTTGTTGCTTTTTCAATGTTTCAAGGCCACAAACAACTTTCTGTTTCCACGTGTTTCCGCGCAACCTAGACCTTTGAACTACAGGGTTCAAATCGTTAAAACTCTAGGAAAAACAATGAATGTGATCTTACAATGCATGTTGTGTGGTCAATGCTTTGTTATCTATAAAAAGCCATAATTAAATTGGCTTTCTTTTGATCATAGCTGTACATTAATGCAGTGTATTGCGATCAAATTTAAAAAGTTGTAAAAGGAGTAGTGCTCAAAGTGTGACGCTCGGGTCTTGTTCAAATAGCGTAAAATTGGGCCTAGGCCACATGAAACTTCTTTGAAAATTTTAGCTTGGCTTTGCAGCGAGAGTCAGGGCATTGAACGGTCTGTGTCGACGAGAGAACAGAGAGTGCAAAAAACGCGAAGAGCGGTCAGAGAAACCCCCATTTTGGCCATAACCTTCTTCATTTCGTGTAAAAAACCTGGTTTTGCAGAATCACTGCCAATTCGTTGTAAATAAAGATGAATCTTTCCGTTTCCGTTAATACCTGCATTAACACCTGGTTTTGACCAATTTTAAAGAAGTTTCAAACAGAGATTGCCACGGTCAAAATATTGGCTCCGGCTCTTAGCTCCCAGAGCCGGAGCCGAGGCCAAATTTGCAGCTCCGGCTCCCGCGAAAAATTTAAAAAGGTCTCCGGCTCCGAAGCGCGGCTCCCGCGCAAAAAGATTTAAAAAAATAGAAGTTATTAGTGCCAGAGATCATACACCCAACGTTTTTGCAGCCAAGTCGTATGCAACACATTCTTCCCAGTATTTTCCAAGCAATTTGGTTTAATAAGACCATGAAATTTTTACTTTTCTGAACGTTGAGAAGCCGGCTCCGACTTTGGGCTCGGGAGCCGGAGCCGCACCAAAAATTTCTGGCTCCGGCTCTGGCTCCCGGCTCGGAGCCGGAGCCGCTCTGAGCCGGAGCCAAGAGCCGGCTCCGGAGCCGTGGCAATTTCTGGTTTCAACTACCTAACTGTCTCCGCCGTTTCTGCACAGTGCGAGCTAGGAGCCTTCCATATGTCTTCGAAAATGTTCTTCTAGGTTTGGGCAAAGTTTCATCAAAATCTCCCTTCGATCGCTTGCATTGCAAACTTGACTTTACAATTTCAGCTATACATACATTATCGACTAATACACTAAATTTCAGTTATGGTGTTCCTCCTTGTACTTCTTCTAGCAATAGTATTTATCTGTTTTTACAACTTCTACTACAAACGTCTCGGTCTCCCTCCAGGCCCAACGCCATGGCCCATCCTTGGGAATATGGCTGAAATTGCTCAGAAGCCTCCAGGCACTGACGTCTTTTTCGAATGGAGAGACAAGTACGGCCCCGTATTTACGTACTGGATGGGCGAGAAGCCGGTTGTAGCTTTTGCTGATTACAAAACATTAGATCAAACGTTCAACAAGGATGGAGAGAACTTTGCCGGAAGAGACTTTTTCCCCGAATTTTATCTGAGTTTAAAATGTAAGTAGGATGCAGTAATCTAAACGCTCGTGATCTTAGCCTACTCTACACTCGGTCTGACCGGAATGGAAGGAACTTTATGGAAGGAGCACCGAGCTTTTATCATGCGATCTTTTCGGAGCCTCGGGATGACAAAAAGTGCTGCTCAAGGGCAGGTTCGCTAACTTGTCATGATCAACGACTATTTTTTAGGTCCTAATCGAGATCTCCAGTATGTTTCAAAACATTGATGATCAAATTCAAGCCGGTGTTGTGAAGCATGACATCTGCAAGTACATCGATCTGGTCATTGGCAACATGGGCAACATTTTTTTGTTCGGCCATGGATTTAGTAAGGTGAGAGATCATCGTATTGTTATAAATAACTTCTGTATCTTCCTCTAGAACCATCACAATGACTACGCCACTCTTCGCGACCAAGTCCATCGATACATGGCGGCAGTTATGACTCCAGCCGCGTTGCTGGTCATGTCTCATCCTCACATCTTCAGGCATCTCCCATATTTCAAAGGAGTCTACAAAGAGGTGGAGGATCGGGTTTATGATATGTTGTGTTACATGGACCGCCAGATTCAGGAGCATATTGCGGAAAAAGAGAACAAAGCCGGCAGCAATGACGATTATGTGTCCGCATTCTTGGAGGAGGTGGAAAAACGCGACGGAAAAGATGGATTTACGTAGGTTTTTGGGGGTCTTTGATAAGGGGGTGTGGGTCGCTCACAATCAGGTTTTTTTAAATTTTGCACACATGTCGGATATAGGCCATATATGAATTCCTAGAATTTGTAGCTCGCTCTTTGCAGGGGTAGTTGAGATATTCACCGATTTTAGCGGCCGAGAAAGTACGCGAAACGCGGAGAGCGGTCACAAAAAATCTGTATTTTTTAACATTTCATTGCGATTTTCGTACTAAATAATTACTTTTTTATGCAAGCATTACACTCTACGGTAGAAATACGCATGAAACTTTCCATGCAAAATTTGCAAAAAGCGCGATATTTTCATCAATTTTTGAACTAAAAATCTCTTCCATTTCTGCAAAGCGCAACCTAGGAATCTTGCATATTCTCATACAAACATTATTATATTATATAAATTTGTGCCAAATTCCGTCAAAATCTGAAAATCTGAGCGTCGCACTTAGAGTATTTCCTCTGTAAACAAAAATAATCGGCTTGTTTCAGAATTCCCGCGCTTCGCGCAATCCTTGTTGATCTCTGGATCGGCTCCCAAGACGCGACATGCACCACACTCTCATGGGGTGTTCTCTACTGTGTTCATTATCCGGATAAACAAAAGAAGGTGCAAGAAGAGCTGGATCGAGTGGTCTCGTCGGATCGGTTGGTCACTCTCGACGACAAAGACAACTTACCTTATGCGACGGCGTTTTGTCAGGTATAGCGAGGGAGCCGATGCAGTGGCAAAAAACGTATGATTTTGCATTCGGGAAGTATCAAAAATGTGGCAAAATACCTCCCTTCACAACTAAAAAAAAGCTCCGTTTTGAAGGGCGCGTCTTTTTTCTTACAAAAAGAAGGGTCGCGTTTTTGAAATCGGAGTTTTTTCACTTGCAGAGGGAGGTATTTTGCTGCATTTTTGATACGTCCCGGATGCAAAACGGTACGTTTTTTACCAATGAATAAGATCGATTTATACTGAGTCAACTTTCTCTTCAGGAAATCCAACGTCTTTCCAATGTTGTAACGCAAAATCTTCTGCACCGAAATCACCGCGAAACCACGGTGAACGGGTTCAAACTCAAAGCCGGCACCTCGATCATGGGTCTCATAACTACGGTCCTTTACGACCCCGATGTCTTCGAAAATCCCAAGAGCTTTGAGCCGGAAAGGTTCCTGGATTCAGAGGGGAGAGTTATTCCATGCAACGAGCTGATCCCATTCTCGACCGGTCGACGGATTTGCCCTGGAGAAGCGCTGGCCAAGGCCGAGATCTTCTTGATCTTTGCCAACCTGCTCAATCGATACGAATTGCGGCCAGTTGCGGGAGAACCGAAGCCAAGTTTGAAGAGAAACTTTGGATTCAGCGTGGCTCCGGACCCATTTCGAGTTGAGATAGTGACAAGGGAATGATGAATATTGTTCTGTGTACTATACTTATAGTACCCCAAGTGCGACGATCAGATTTTGATAAAAATTGCGACAAATTTAGACTTTGTTTTTCTAGGATCAATTCGAGCTTTTTAGCTCGCGCTTTGCAGAAAGGACAGGGATTTTTAGCCGGAAAGTCTGCAAAAATTTTGCATTTTTTTTGAATTTATCGATAAAAAGTTTCATGGCTATTTCTATTCTAGAGGGCAATGTTTCCACAAAAAAATCATTAGTTTCCGCACGAAATTGACAAAGATAAGGAAAAAATGATTTTCTCTGACCGCTCTCCGCGTTTCGCGTACTCTCTCGGCCGCAAAGATCGTTGAATATCTCGACAGCCCCTGCAAAGAGCGAGCTAAAACGTTCAGGAATTAATATACGGCCTATGGCTGACCTGTAGGAAAAATTTTTTAAAAATCTGAGCGTCGCACTCGGAGTACATGCCCTACCAATGACCAACCTTCAACAAGTTGCATTCTGTACAAAATTCAAATAAATCGTTGAAAAAGTACCATAAGACCAAGCTGCTCAACAATCATGCATTCATCGGAATTTTCGATCACACCAAATAATCGCCTGGCATTTCGACTTGAGTCCATAAGGTCTGTTATAACAATTCCCACAATAGAGGTCGATATTCATACAAGAGATTCGTGCAAATGTCAAAAGTCCAACGCGTCCTGTTTAAAAGCCCTTCAGCGTTGACACTTCTTCAGTGCAAGGTCGACAACATGATCAAGTTCCTCATTTTGGCTGGATTTGTCGCCACAGTCGCGGGAAAAGCGACTTTCATCAATGCGAAGCCGTCGCCTCAAGACTTTGCCGACCTTGTAAAAACTTCTAAACTGGGGTTATCTCCTTTCTGCTCAACCTGCGAACAGGTCATCAACGCCATCAAGGGGCCATTGGAGGCTCTCACCGAACTCTCCAAAGAGGAGGTTGAAGCTGCTGTGGAGGTATTCTTATTGCGTTTACAGGAGAAGTTGTTTATAATAAGTGTGACGCTTAGATTTTGATGAAACTTGCGTGAAATTTAGAGATACTTTAGAAAGATATATGATCAGAAACGACCGAGATTTTTAGGTAAAAAGTTGGCAAGAATGTGACATTTTTTTGCAAATTTTGATATTAAAAATTTCATACCTTTTTCTACCCCAGCCGGTAATGTCACCACCGAAAATCAACTTTTCCCGCACGAAACCGGCAAAGATATGGACCAAAAACATTTTTATCTCTGGCCGCTCTGCCTTTCGCGTACACTCTCGTCTCAAAAATCTTTGAATATCCCGGCTACGCCTATAAAGCGCAATCTAAAACTTTCAGTAATTGATATGCAGCCTAAAGCCCAAAAAAAATCTGAGCGTCGCACTTGAAAATCGTTCCTTACTTTGCTTAATTTTCCACTTGTTTTTCAGACCGCCTGTGACGAGGTTGTCGGCCCACTAGGCCCTGTTTGTGCCAGCTTCATCGATCGAGAGATCGACGTGTTGTACAAGGTAATCGAGCAAGATGAAGACAACATCAACGCGGAGGAATGTTGCGCCGCAATCAGCCTCTGCTGATAAGGGAAACACAATATAATCCGATTTTAATTTGAACGCACCGGAAGTTTTGCGTTGGGCTTGACGTTTTAGTGAATAAATAATCATTATACAAATCTACATAGGTTTATTGAAGAGCTAGTTTTGTTTTGCGCCGATTATGAGCCAAATGAAAGTTCAAGGTCTAGAGCCATCATCGTTAACTCCGTTGACACAAAAAGGGATCCTCTCTCAGTATCATAGGATCCCTTGATAAAGAAACTCTAGCCTACACTTTCTCAAACAAAACCCTCTGAAAGACGCACCTTTATATAGATTCCCAAACTATAGTTTTGGAATCTTCTTAACGGTTGTTATCATCTCTATTATCGCTTTATCAGGTCATATGCTTAGCTCGAATACTGTGTCCTCAACAAGTATAAGTAGCAAGCGCCGTATTCTCCATGGGCTCAACCGAAATTGCGATGCTGAAACAACTGGCGTCGCTTGCTTTGTTATTAGCTGTTGTGACTTGCAAACCTGTGGAAAATGAGGTGAAACGACTTCGTATTTCTCTGGGAGATTCCAGCAAGGAACTTGGGATTAGTAGAAGTGACGTTCTTGGCCAAGAAACAGAACAATTGAACGTGCAGATTGAGGGGCTTGGAGAACTCTCCCTTGCATTGAACCTTAACGACGAAGGCGTTTTGGAGTTGGGCTGGGACTGGCGATGGATTGTCTGCGGCGTCTGTAAAAGTGGATTCTTTGTTCTGCAGAAGGAGCTGGAAGGCGGCCTTGAACTTACAAAAGACGCTTTGAAAACTGCCGTCGAGGTAAGGGAGATTTTATTAATAGTAAACATTATCTTACTTGGGATTTGAAAAACGGCCAACCCTTCATTAACTATTTGTATGGCTGTCGGGGAAATAATGTGGATTTTCCACGCTTCGCAATCGCCCGTCTTCGCTTTGCAACAGCCCAAAAATGGCTCGTCGGCAGGCACGGGCCGAAAATCGGGGCCCGGCGGGAAGAAGTCGTTTCGGCCCACACGTTCCAAATTTGCTTCGGGCCGGCCCGTAGAAACATAGCTCCGCTCAGGCCTGATTCCTTATGACCATATCTTTTTTTATGACCATATCAAATAGATAAATACTGTGTTCCGAGGCTACAGCGGGCCCTGAAACCATGCCTGTAACAACAACTGCAAGTTTGAAGTGCGATCGAGACGAAACAAGGCATCTTGCTGCGACAAATCTACATTATTGTCCCGCAGATTGATAAGCCGTTAAAGAAAATTAAGCCTTTCTTAAGCCAAGGGCCAGGCCACAACCTTTTAGATTTTGGCCCGTTTGTATTCGAACCGATTTTTTTTAAATTTCCGTTTTCAGCGTCAATGCAACGAAAAGCTTGGCCGTGTCGGCGGAGGACTCTGCGGATGGATGGCGGACGCTGTAGTCGACGTTGTCTTCGAAATGATCCTTGAAGACAAGAGAATTGATCCACTCAAATGTTGCCAAAAACTCGGAGCATGCAAACTCAGGACTAATCCATTTGGCGCAGCTAACGCAACGGTCGCCGTAAAATCACCGTGGGAAATTAGGGCGGATTAAATATGTCACTTTTTGAGGATTATTGGGAAGTCATGTTTAGGGTTGTTTTGCAAACAATATCAAGGCTAAGCAAGAGGCAAATAAACATGATTCTTTCAACTTTCGCTGTTGCAGACGCTCGGTTAGAGGCTTTGATAAGGATTTTTAAGATAACATTTGCACGGACGATTTGGACTAGGTACAAAGTTAGCGTAGTAAGCAGTGTTAAGCTACCTGTATTTCATGTCAATTCCAAGATCGTTTCTTGTGTTGAAATTATGATATTAATATTTCCATAAAGTGCGTGGACACTGGGACTCTTTCGCACAGTGCAATTTGAACTTTTTCCCACGCTTGTCACCAACGCACAGTGAATTTTCCCTACGACAAATGTCCATGCACTTTATGAAAATACTAATATCATTCTGTCAGAAAAATAATAAGCACTCTGTCGCATTGAAAATCGCCGCCGAGAAAATGAATTATGTCGCGGCGAAATCAAATTGCTTTCATTTCAGCGACGCGATCGGAGCAGCGATATTGTGCTCATTATTTTCCCGACAGACTGATAATAAATATGCAATACATAGTCCATGAGTACACTACGTACCCGGAAGAACTTTGCTCGAACTTTATTTACATTTTTTTGTCTACATGTTGTTCCCCAAAGTCGGAGACATTTCCACAACCCTTATCAGTTAATAATGACTTAATCGGGTCATGTGTTCTCATATTGAATGCCAAGTTAGCAAGTATAAATAGGAGCCAAATTACACCGCTACAACGGGAAGTGGAATGCTAAAATTTTCGGTCATCGTTCTCCTATTGCTGGTCGTTGCGACCAACGGCAAGGCGCTGGAAAACGAGACCAAAAGGTCGGTACATCTTGTACTTGGAAATGAGAAGGAAGAACTGCCGTTAAGTCCGATTAATAGGCCTCAAGATGAGTTTGAGACGTTGGAACTGAGTTTTCAAGGGCTTGAGGACTTGACGATTGATTTCAAATTAGTGGGAGATGATGTTTTGGAAATGCGATGGAACTGGAAGAGGATTCTTTGTCGCCCTTGCAAGAGCATTTTCAACGTGTTGAAGAGAGAGTTGAAAGATGGAGCTGGCCTGACGAAGGAGGCGTTAAAAAATGCAATTAACGTAAGTCAAAATAATAGCCATAACCAGCCCAGTTTTGAACTCAAAGTCACTCCACGAGCATCTTATTAAGACCACTTTTTCCAGCCTTTAAATAGGCAATTTTAGAATCAATGTAAAAAACATCTTGGACGTTTGGTTGGAAAGGTCTGCAGCAAATTGGGAGGCAAAGGGATCGACGCTCTGTACGATCTGATCGTCAAGGAGGACAAGAGAATTGATCCACAGCGGTGTTGCAAGAAAGTTGGACTATGTAAATAAAACCGAGCCAAATATGTACAGTACAGTCACTACACACCGGCAATACATACTCATCAAATTTAGTACAAACACTTTTTTCGAACAAGAAATCTGTACATTTATTCTCCTTGTTATTAAACCTGGACATCAATTTTCATGCTATGATACGAAGAAAGTGCCCGAAGATGGGTCAAATTTTAGTAAAATGTGGCGCAAATTTAGACTCAAGGTTTGGCTTACAAAGAACCGCAGACCAAAGAGAAGCTTTCAGTCTTTTTTCTCGGCCCCACTCGAACACCAGCCACAACACTTGACATAGCTCATTAAATCGAACCTTGTCGGAAGTCGCGTTTAATCTTGTGCCTTAAATTGCTGTAGGATATCCCGTTTTATGGTCGAAGATAACACTTTTTATTGTCGGATCAAGGTTGCGATTTGCTGATCTTTTCTTTTCTATGTAATTTTTTAGCATAGGCGCTTGAAAAAACTGTCTACCAATTTTTGAAAAACTTCCATAACTCGCCTAAGGACAGAGGTATGAAAAACTTTTTTTCGTGGCAGATTCTGCCTGTCATGACTAGTATACATGTTAAGTTTCAAAGTGATTGCATTATATTCGCTTGAGATACGGGTGGTCAAAAATTTATCTCCGGGAATATACGAGGAATAGTCCCAAGTGCGACGGTCAGATTTTTAAAAAATTTTAATCATATTTTTTGCAGGGTCACATATCAATTTCTGAAAGTTTTAACTAGTGCTTTGCAGGCACAACCAAGATATTCAACAGTGTTTTTGGCCGAGAGAGTACGGGAAACGCGGAGAGCGGTCATGCAGAAAGATTGTTTTTTGGCCGTATCTTTGCCAGTTCGAATGAAAAAAGTTTATTTTTTGTGGGAAAATTACCCTTTACCATGAAAATACAGCCCGCTCTTTTTGTGAGTGAAAGGGAGCGCCCTTCAAAACGAAGTTTTTTCACTTGGAGAGGGAAGCATTTTGCCACATTTTTCATGTTTCCCGGATGCAAAATTGTACGTCTTTTGCCACTGGATCAGGTCTGTCACTGTAGGTGCAAAACTTTTTGTTCTAAAATCCGCAAAAAAGCGCTAAATTAAAAAAAAAAGTTAAAAGAAATTTGTGCCAAGTTTTATCAAAATCCGAGCGTCGCGCCTCGACCATCTCCCCTGCTAATCCTGAATAATTTCGGTTGTTTTCGGCGAAATTTTGCCGCCTTTGCAGCTCTCCCAAAGCCCCCACGGCCTGCCCTTCTTTTATTTTCGTTCCTCTCTTCCGAAGCCGGACCCCTCGCCGCTCGCTGGTTGGTCGGAATTGGCGGGAAAGTGCGATTTGAAAAAGCGCGAAAGCGCCGCTCTCTTTTTTCCCCACGGTTTTGCGGCGAGAGAGCGCGGCGGCGGTGGAGACGGGCCGAGAAAGAGGCGGTGGATTTGCAGTTGGTGTTTGCGGAAAGACCATAGGCATTTGGGAGAAGCGTGAGAGCGCGTCTTTTCACTTCGAATTCTTCGGGTTTCCGGGGCTTGGGACGGGCTCTGGGACCGATTTTAACGTGTTTTTGGGGTGGTATCGGTTTACAACTTGTTTTTGTGACTTTTAAGGAGCTTTTAAAGCTTTTCAACGAAGTTTTTAAGGCATCAACAGCTTTTTTAAAGCCAAAAATTGTCTAGTAATCGACGAAATCACTCAAAAATTTGAGAGGATTTAGATTTTTCTTCTAAAAAATCTCGATTTCTCTTAAAAAATCTCGATTTCTCTCAAAAAATCTCGATTTTCCCTCTGAAAAAACGTTTATTCCAACAAATATAGCCGCTGTGGACTCTCAAGTCGCTGGAATTTAAATTCCCGCCTCGGCGCTTAACCTGTTTTTGTCGCTTCACCTGTCACTGATTCCGATCTTTAGTACCCCTCGAGACGTAATGAGTCGGTCTTCGAAAGTTTGATTTATTCGCCCTTTATGGAAGCTCGTCCTTCTGCAAAACCTACAATTATATCTTGCCTCAAATTGCAATATCCCTCATTTCAATAGGAATGAGAGTTTGTGGGGGAAATGTAAATTGTTATCTTTGTTTTCCCCCGGAAACAGTGCACAGTAATCTTTGGCTTCGTCCATAAAGTTACTTACCATTTTGTTTACGAACGCAGGGGGTGTTTGGAGCAGGCTTTCTCCCCCCATTTTCCCTTTAATGTCATGTGTCCACTGTGTTTGTTTCGCCAGCTTTTCGCACATCTGTTTGAGGCCAGCTCGGCGTAAATCGTCCGTCATTCCGGATTTATTATCGAATTTTTTGGGAGATGGGAGATTTTTGTAGCTCTGTTTTTGGAGATGGTATTTTATTGGGGTTGAAGGGAAGTGCAATTCTGAAATCATTCTTTTGGGTTTTGCACGCAATTTGGACTTATTGTTGGGGCACAACAATCCGTAAAAAGTAATAGCCTGCCCTTGGGTTGGAGGCAAAACAAAAGTTTTTGGCCATATCTCCGTCAATTTTGCGAGGAAAGCATTGATTTCTTTGCAGAAACCTTGCAGTCTTCGTTAGACATCAAGTTGAAATTCTTCTTATAGTCTTGCAAGAAGAGCCCAAACTTGCGGGAAGTCGTTTTTTCGGGCAGCCAGCAGGACCACGGCAATTCTGCAGGCATGCTTGGAAATCAGCAAACATTTGCTTTCAACAGGAAATTATAGCGATATATTTGGGAGCTAGATGTTGCGAATCAAGTTTCCAGGTGTATAAGTGGCTCAAATAGTCATCATATGGTTAACCAGGCATTTTTAAAGCTTAAGAAGCCATTTTTTGAACAACAAGTACTGATCTATACCACGCAGTTGCCAATGCAAAATTTCTATTATACTAAGCATGGCTGCAAACCGGGCCAGCCCGGCCCGGCCCGGCCCGGCCCGGGCCGCAGGCCCGGGCTTGAATCTCCAAGCCCGGCCCGGGCCCGGGCTTGGAAAATTTGGAAAGCCCGGCCCGGTTCGGCCCGGAAAATTTTTACACTAGGTTGGAAAGAAAGAAAGCGGGAAATGAAAGGAAAATTATGGCAAATTTTCGCAAAATGTAAAGAAAAATTTACCAAAACCTAGGTACATAAGGTCACTTTACGTTCGCTATGAGCAGTGTGTTCGAAAAAATGAAAAATTCTATCGAAAAAGCATATTTTTTCCTTTTTTTCCTTTTTTCCGGGCAAAACTTAGATTTCAAAAAAACCGGGCCAGCCCGGGCCGGGCCGGGCCTAAAAATCGAAGCCCGGAGTCGGGCCGAGAAATTAGTCGGCCCGGCCCGGGCCGAAAAATTTTGCAAAGCCCGGCCCGGAGCCATGCCTAATTATACTACGTAGATTCCGGTAGAAAAGTCGTAATTCTAACCGGTAAATGTCAGCTGCCCGCAAAATGCTTGTCGCGCCACTTCAACGGTTTGTTTTATTGCGCTGGGCAAATTGCCTGTGCGCCATATCTTCCGGTTCGGTGGTGAAGCGGTGAGGATTGGATAGACACAGTACTAGCACGAAATTTAAATGCTTTTTGGTCGTATATTGTTTTTACAAAATGGTATTTCAAACATGCCGCCTCAGGCGATAGTGGTCCTGTTTTAATACCAGTTGACCATTTAGGTAATCATTTGTTTGTTGATTTCTGATTTTCTTTGTAAGTTTAGCAAACACTTATGTATAATAACAGGTCGAATCCTGACAACTTTTGGATTGAAAATCTGGATTGTTTCTGTTTCTGCAAAAGCTGGGCTAGGAATGCCGCATGTCTCAGAAAAAATTTATACAAATTGCCAGGTTTAATTAAAATTTGAGCTTCTCACTGAAATGCTGCAACTTCAAACGCTCGTAGCGGCCGCAGTTTGCACTTTTAAATCTTGTTATTTCATAGACAAAGGATAATCTTGCATAGAAGTACATATTCCAAAAGCGAAGTCTCTGCGCCGCCTCCGCCGGAAGTTCTAGCCTCCGGCTTTCCTTCACTTTTTTTGAAAGACCCTTACTTCTCTTCTATGCCATTTTACAGTACCTTATAAATATACAGAACTGTCGACAGACGCCTATTTTTTTATCGGTTCAAACCTCTGTTTACTACCTTCCAAGTCTTTGAGTAGCCATAATTCTCTTCCCTTAACTTTCGCACAGCGTCCTTTTCCGCTCATAAAGCCCACAAGTGGCAAGTGTGTGACATTGCGCCCCAAAAAAATTGGTGGACCGAATCAATCTTTGCCAGTTGCTTCTGTTTCGGCATCTTCAACTCCTCTTCCCCAATTTGAATTTTGCGAGGAGGAAGGGTCATTTGTTTTCGTCGAGGCCGGCAAATTTTAATGAGATTGGAATTTGCGGAATTTTTTGAAGCCCTTTTTTAGGATGGGAGGTCCAAATTTTGCTACGGCTTTTCGGGTCAACGAAAGTTCGGGTCGATGATATTTTTGGTTGCCTCGATTTGTCATCATATGCATTGTGAAGGCTAGGACAAGGCTCAGTAGATAGAAATATTAAGATTGCTTCCGTCCTAGGAAAGTTTATCAATCAATCAAAAAATTATCAATATTTTGAGGTATTTTACATGTATTCTTTGAATAATATCGAGATAATTCTTACGGGTCTTCGGTTTTGGGAGCAAATTTTGGATTTTTCTATGTTACAATAGCTCAGGGTGAAGAAACTAAAGTCAGCAATGGCTAAGATCAGAAAAGAAGTATCATAAATATTACCTTCGCCAAGCCTTCGCCGAGCTTCCGCCGAGATCTGCCGAGCTTCCGACGTCTTTTCCAGGCCTTGTAGATACCTCCTACAACATTTTTTGGGGTTCCAAGTGCCTTGCTTCCTCGTATCAATCAATTTTTTAAGTTTTATTCAAGTCTCCTTCATATCTCATAGCCTACGCTCAACCTCAGGATTTTCCCTCTGAGCCAAGCCACCGCCGAACATCCAACAGCTTTTCCAGGCCTCTGAGGTACCTACCGCAACATTTTTTTGGGTTTACACCTGCCCTACTCCTCATACCGAGCGATTTCATG